GTCCCTCTTGAGTACAGACACAGTCAATGCTTTTAATCAAGAACACTGTTATAATAAACATTTATCTATTTTTATTCATGTGCTTCTACTTCTATGAATATTAGACTTTATGGTTTATAAAATTGTGCTTCGGAGCGAAACTGTATGACACAGTGCTAGCTCACAGACTTTTCTTACATTTAAATTATAACACATTCTTATCGTGTCAAAATCACAAAAACACCTTTATTAGGAATATCTAGGGGCACAGCTCTTCATAAACAGGGAATGTGACCGTGACCTACAGCAAACATCACCAAAGCCTGACGCTGGCATCCTGTCTGACGCGAGCTGAGTTTGACAGGAGACCAGTCGATGCTACTCAGATGCATTTAAACCGAAAAACAAAGCATTCTCTGTAAACTGAAGTCCAAAGTGGTTTTGTTTTTATTGAAAGAGTCCAATATTCTTCACACAGATGCTGGTAAAATGACACTGCAACACAGACGGGATGTACAGTATCAGTTCATATCAAACCAGAGTGTTAGACCGGTTCTGTTGGTCCATAACCCTGTGTGTGTGAATGTGACAGCAGCTGTACAGAACTGAGCCACAGCAGTGGTTCCTTGAACCAACCTGTAACTTTAAAAGCCAGACATGACGATCAGGGTCACGTATAATCAATAAATAATTCATTCAACTGATAACTGCACTTCCCTTAATAAATAACTGCTGTTCTTATGGACAGCTCTACAGTCCTGACCTGCTTTGACCCAGTGGACCTGGTACCAGTAGCAATGTCTGGACGTGGGTTCACATTTATTGATCTGTAGCTTCATTTAAAAACAGTTCCTCTCAGAGGCTCCATCCAGGTCCTCCTCAGGTGGTCTAGTCCACGTAGTGCACCTCCGCCTGCAGCTCCTTGGTGACGTATCCGAGCAGCGCGGCCGTGAGCTGCTGCTTCAGGGCGGCGTTCCCCATCACCAGCGCCGTCAGCTGAGCCACGTCCGTCCACTGGATGCTCCCCAGCACGGCCATGAGGTCGTCGTAGAGCTTCTGCTGCTGCTCGGGGCTCAGCTCCATGATGATCTGAGGCAGCGGTTTGAACTGTCCACTGGTCAGCCAGCAGCCCAGCAGGCCTCCAACAGCGCCACCTACAGGGGAGTCGGACACAGACTGATCAGACCGGATCACACGAGTCCAGAACCAATGTTAAGGGTCAATCAGTAAGTCTGTGGAACTGATAAATAAATGTGTGTTAAAATACAGATAACACAAAACTTTGTCCACATTTTTATTAAAGGAGAATTTTTCATAATTTATTCTGAAGTGTGGACAGCATGCAGCTCCTCCATCACTCCATCCAGAGCATCAACAACATTTCTTTGGTATTTTTATACGTATTTGGTGACATCATCCCTTTATTCTTATTTATTTCATTCATAAGTCATTTTTGGTGTGTGGGTGTCATGTTGCTGTGTGATTCAGTGACTCTGGGTTTGGTCTCTAATGACATAACGCAGCACTCTGACTCTCGTCCTGCTCTATCTACATGTAACACGTGTACGTATCTTTATTATATTTATTCTACTTCAGTACTCGGTGCCGTGTTTCTTATCCGGCTGCTGTAACGTGTGGATTTCCCCACTGAGGGATCAATAGAACATCTGGTCTTATCTCGTTACCCGTGGACCCTGATCAATAGGCTGGAATGGTTCAGTTCTGGATGAACTGGGTCGTCTCCTGGCCTGAACCTGTGCGGGGCGTCGCTCACAGATCCCAGATAAAGAGAAGCTGCTCATGTTAAATGTGCTCCTCACAACATTCAGACAGTTAGAAATAAAATAACTGAGTATGGGAGCTGGTGATGGGACAACAACCCATCAGGATGACTGGAAAGATGCTTCCTACAGATGGAAGTGAAGCCTCCACCACCAACACCCCTCCACTCACCTACTGCGATGCCCAGCGGACCCCCCACCAGACCCCCAGCGAAGGCCAGGCCTCCGGCTGCTGCTGCTCCCTTCCCGGAGCCTTTGACGGTGGTCTGGACCTGCTGGTTGGCAGACAGCTCACAGCACAGCTTCATCACGTCATCGATCCGTTGGCTCATGCTGTGGACGACAGTCACAGAGTCACAGAGAGCAGACGCTGAAATGACCAGTACAGTGGTGGGAGCTGCTCCCAGT